AGCTGTTCCTGAAACCATGGATGGTGTCATCCCCACATCATCATGTGAATGTGTGTGTTGGGGGGCATGTCCATCTCCCAAAGTCCTACCCTCTAGTAGGCTTCGGATCCCGTGAAAAGCATGGGGAAGGCATTACAGCCCATTTTCACAGTGAAAGACCCAGAAAAACCCAAACCCCTCTAGCAGAAAAAATAGAGCAAAAAATCTAAGCAGGGAGAGAAGAATCAAAATTCTAGATTAGCCAGTTCAGTGACTCTGCTTCAGGAACTAGCTGAAGATAAAGTTAGGTTATAATCTTGAGAAACAGGGAGTTATCCCCTTGTGATTATCACTGGTCTTTTCGGAATTTTTCAGTGATCACTGGTATTTTCAGAATTTTCCAATGACGTCCTTCCTACCCCCTTTGGATTATTGGGTTATGGTTTCTTCCCTTAAATACCCCTTCTCCCAGCTACTTGGGGTTGAATTCTACCCCTTCGTGGGAAATGAGTTTCGGCCCCAGCGCTCTGGTTCCTGTCAATAAACCTCGTGTGATTGCAGCAAGGACGGTCTCTCTTGAGTTCCTGGGGGGGGGGGAGGTCGTGTTATCCTGAGACTTGAGTGAGAGTCTCCCCACACTAGGGGTCTTTCAACAGGCCAAAAAGGTGTGGACCAGAGAATGAGTCTCCCTTCCTCAGGTTTCAGAATGGGGCCCTGCTCATTTCCTGGGAGGTCTTGACTAGGAGTCCAGGAAAGCCTAGATGACTCTGGCTTGTGGCCAACCCCACATGCTACTCGATCAACACGTTCCAGTGTGGGTGCCAAGCCCTGGCTCCCTTTGCACCCATTTTCTGAGACTTTGCCCACACACAGCCCAGCCCTCCACAATGCAACAGAAGTGTCCCAGCCAAAATAGACGCACAGAGTGTGACCGTGAGCACACAGAAAGACTACCGCACAGAGGGGCTAGGTGACCACTTTTCAATGTCACATTCCCACACTGTAGTCCTCCACAGGGCAGGGCTGCTTCCCCTGTCTGGAATGGGGCTGCTAGCTGGAAGGAGTGAGGCCCCCATAGAGGGCAGACCAGGGCTGCTGCAGGTGGAGAGGGTGGAAATGTGGAGCTAGAGAGGAGTAGAGGGGAACATGTCCCAGCAGTGTGTGGAGGTGGAGCAGTAAGGATGCTGCGCAGACAGAATACAGCTTTGGTGTCCCTCTCCTAAAGGCAAAGCTTTGGAGAAGCTGGTTAAATGTTAGGGTGTGAGCCAAAGATTGGCTCAGAAAGATTCCCAACTCCCTGTTTGTCGGTAAATATTTCGTTTTTCAAAATATTCCCCCTAGGTTTATTTATTTATTAAGTATAATCTGTTCTTCTTGCAGGCCAGAAGAAGACACCAGATCTCATTACAGATGGCTGTGAGCCACCATGTGGTTGCTGGGAACTGAACTCAGGACCTCTGGAAGAGCAGGCAGGGCTCATAACCTCTGAGTCATCAGTCATCATCTGAGCCCTTGGTGGTTAATCTTGATTGTCAACTTGACTGAATTTAGAATCATGTGGAAGACACAGTTCTGGGTGAGTCTGGGAAGGGATTTTCTAAATACGGGGGATTTCATGCCATCGGACAGAGTCCAGGACAGCGTGTAAAGAAGCATGTACAAATGTGAGGGCTGACCTCTGCTCCCTGGCTGGGGATGGGATGAGACCAGCAGCTCATCCTCCCTCTGCCTTACCTCCATGCCTTCTCCCCCTGCCTTACCTCCATGCCTTCTCCATTTTGATGGCCTTTGCGCTCCACCTGTGAGCCAGAATTGACCTCTCTCTTTCTTTTAAATTAATTCATTTATTTATTATGCACAGAGTGTCCTGCCTGCATGTATCCCTGTAGGCCAGAAGAGGGCACCAGATCTCACTACAGATGGCTGTGAGCCACCATGTGGTTGCTGGGAACTGAACTCGGGATTTCTGTAAGAACAGCCAGTGTTCTTAACTGCTGAGCCATCTCTCCAGACCCAACCTCTCCTTCTTTAATATGCTTTTATAAACATTTTTTCCAGCAACACAAAACAAAACAAACCCAACTAAGGCAGGTGGCAGCACATACATGTAGCACCAGCACTTGGTGGGACGGAGAGGCAGAAGTAGGAATCTCTATGAATCTGAGGTCAGTCTGGTCTACATAGCAAGTTTCAGGTCAGTCAGTACCACAGAATGAGACCCTGTCTCAAAAACAAACAAAACAAGAAAAATAGCTACTCTAGCTGACCACAGCACAGCCATCTTCTATACCTCCCCAACTTTGCCCTGCAGACTGGGGCAGGAGCCAGGGCTGCAGTAATGGAAGGTACCAATTGGTATATATAGTTTCTCTCTTCCATTGCCCCGGACAGACATCATCAATCCATCACTGCATTCAATATCATCATCATGTTGCCTGCCAATAGCATCCACTTGTACAAAGTAAGTCATCTCAATTCTGTCTTGCAGACTGGGGCAGGAGCCAGGACTGCCAATAATGGAGGGTACCAATTGGTATATATAGCTTCTCCCTCCCATTGCCCCGGACAGACATCATCAATCCATCACAGTACTCTTTCCTCCAGAAATCTTCAGAAGCCTTATAGACATTGAGCCCCAGTGGGCAGCACTAACTGTTGGCATCAAGGAGGACAGGTAGAGTAGGTCAAGGAGGCTTGTGAGGATCCTGGATGAGATATTTTATCCTCCTGGCCAAGTGTGTCCTGCCCCTCCCACTGAGGGTCTTGGGTGATACTCCAGTAGCTACTGAGAGGGCTGACTCAGGCCCACAGCAATTAGGCTAATGGTCTGACTCGTTAATCTAATTAATCTTAAGAAAAACCAGGAGTCAGATATCGGGTTAAAAACCTGGAAGATCAGAGGACCGGGAGCAGCCAATTGTTAATCAGTGGCTAGCTCTGCCTTCTGACCTCCAGGCAAGCTTTATTTGTCAGAACACAAACAAAATATCACACAACAGTGGCCTGAGCAGGTTTCCCTGGAAGGTGTGATGGTGTTCCTGGAATCAAAGTAAGAGAGGCCTTCATGCCTGCCTGCTAGCAGCCGTGGGCTGTCACCTCTCCAAAGCTTGACCTCAGCTGGCTGTTAGGCCCATAGAAGGTGATGCTGGGAGCTCCACAAGTTAATATTCTAGACCCACGGGATCCATTAGGCGTGGCACGACCCTCTGCGGGCACAGAAGCTGTTGCAGTGGCTTCGCTAAGGGGAAGAAGCTTGCTTTCTGCCCTGCATGATACTGTCTGTTACAAACATGCGCTGAGCTCTCTCCTGATCCTCAGCCTCACACTGTCCTGTGGAAACGAGGCCTAGAAAGACAGGGCATCTTCCAAGATCATTGTTATTGTCAACGTGACAAGGTCTAAGTCACCTCGGAGGCATGTCTCTGGCCATGCCTGTGAGGGCGTGTCTTGACTGGGTTCACTAAAGTGGGAAGTGATAGGATTCTGCGTGAGAGGGACCTTGGCATGTGGGCGAGGGACGGACAGACAGAGCTTAAGTGGGCGTTTTATTGTGATAAAGGGAGTGGGGAGGGAAGAGAGACAGACTGAGAGAAAGAGAGAGAGGCAGAGAGCAGCTTCCCTCTTCAGAAGTACAGCGGGAAGAGCAAGAATGGGCGCAGTTTGTCTCTTAAAGGGAACTTTTTGCATCTCGGAACTGGCTACTTGGTGAAGTAGCAGCCACAGGACCCTGGGCTGGCCAGGGTACTGCCTGAGTGCATTCCACCAGGGGATACAGGTGTGTGTGTGCGCGCGCGCGCGGGGGGGGGGGGAGCGCATCATTCTTTGGGGTTGGTTCCCAGATAGCAAGAAAAGAAATGCGAGCAACAGCATTCACCACCCTCTTGTTCCTGACCCCAGATTCGATATGACCTGCTGCCTCAAGACCCTTCCCCCTATGGCTTTCCACCGTGATAGAGCATGAGACTGAATAAATCTTTCCTTCCGTATCTTGTCTGGCCAAGTATTTTACTGCAGCAAAGAGGAAATTAACTAATAAAGCCGTAAAGCCCAAAGCCACACTGTGGCCTCAGCAGGCATTTCTAGTGACCTTCTTCCACAGCTGCGCGGATTTTTTTAAAGGAAAGAGAGATTATTTGGTTTCAAGATTTTAAAGAGTTAGAGCCATGACTGGGAGGACCTATTGCTTTCAGGTCTCTGGGGGTGGGGGTGTTAGACACGGTGAGGAAGTGCATATGGCAGAGAGAACTGCGACCTCATGACCAGGAAGAAAAAGAAGAAAGATGAGACTTCCATTCTACAGTCCCCCTCAAGAAAATGTCCTCCAATGAGCCAACACCTTCTATCCCTTCAAGAACTTGTTCTCAGTGTGTTAATGCCTTCTGCCAGGACTCACCTTTCTTTATCATCTTTGTTCTAGGGGTGGAGCCTAGGCTTTCTATATGCACGCTACCCCTGGGCTATAGTACCAGCTTTACAGGCCCCACCTTTTAAAGCTCCCACTACCACCTTTAACGCATGGCCTTCAGAGGTCATTCAAAATCCAAGATGAAGCACCTACCTTTTTCCATTTCTTTCCCAACCACATTTCAGAGTAGATTTACCCTCGGACAGCCTAGTCTTTACGTCAGGCCGTGCAAACTCAGTCCTTGTCTTTTTTTTATCCTGGACCTATAAGTTCCCTTTCACCCTATTCTTCAGAGAAGGCCTGGCCCCGGGGATGCTCTCAGATGTGAGCCTTTTCTCAGACAGACATCTGTGGGGCTGAGCCACAGAGCACAGGCTCAATAGGAACCTGTCCCAGCCCTCTGGGAAGTCCCCTCGACACCCCTGAGTCTCAGAATCTTTGCTATTGTAAGAATTCCAGGTCCCCTGGCCTCATGAGAACATCAAGGGATGTAAGTTCCAGAATGCAGGGCTCTCAGCTCAGGTGGGAGAGGGCCTAGACCTGGGTGCTCAGGCTAGGCACTGGCCCAGGTCTGTGCTCCACCCACTGCAGCTGTGGGCTTGGCAAACATCCCAACATGGGCCTGGAGCTGTATATGGACTTGCTGTCAGCACCTTGCCGCGCCGTCTACATCTTTGCCAAGAAGAATGGCATCCCCTTTGACTTCCAATTTGTGGATCTCCTAAAAGGTCAGTCCTCAGTGCTGCCAGGAAGCCTGGTCCTGAGGTACTCCCAGGGTGCCTGGTGAGAGTGCTTCTGAGGGTCAAAGGTCAGCAAGGGAAACAGGTGAAAGAGATGTCAAGGTACTCAGGCCTTGTCCCTATCTAGCCTAACCTTTGCCGGCCACCATGAACAGCAATCTCCCTGTTGGGGTGAATAGGATCTTTGGGGGTCAGGAAGGAGGGCTGCTAGGCCAGCCTCAGACTATGAGCCAGAGCTTTGGCCATCACCTCTAGAGGTCTCACATCTTGTTATCTGTAGCACCCACTAACCAGGCTGACGCAGGACACACCCATTACCATGGGACAGAGCATATGATACTCAGTCTGTGTCCACTCTTCCTCAGTCTGTACCCACCTTCCTCAAGTCTGTGCCCACTCTCCCCCAGTTTGTGCCCACCCTCCTCCAGTCTGTGCCCACTCTCCCCCAGTCTGTGCCCACCCTCCCCCAGTCTATGCCCATCCTCTCTCAGTGTTCAAATCTGCTCTGGGATTAGGACTGTGGCTCAGTGATAAAGCACTTGATTAGCATGCCACAAATAAGACCCTTGGTTTGATACTCAGGTTATGCGTGTGCATGCGCACGCGCACACACACACACACACATACACACAAATAAAGAAGGAAAAGAAGGAGGAGATAAATGACAGGAACATGAAAAACGAATGCACTCAAGGTTGCACAGACCCTCATCCCCCATGGGGATGGGTGGATCAAGATCCAAGACACTGAGGAGAGAGAGCGGGAGACTGTGCAGTAGACGTGGGAGCTGCAGAAATGGACGCGGTGTGGTGGATTCCCAATGGGTTTCCTCTTGCAAACAGGAGGGTCAGGAGGGGTTAGTGGTCCCGCTTGCTGTGGAGTTCTCTGTAGATATCAAGGGACCTTGGGTGCGTTGGCAGGGTTCTGCAAGCTTCATGGTTCAGTGGCCCAATCCCTTCAAAGGGGAAACAAGAGTGAGTGAGCGGTGATAAGACCGAAGGCCGCACTTAGGTCCCTAGGGCTGAGGTTGTAATTTTAGGCCTTGGGTGAAGACTGAACTTCTAGCTCCTGGGAGCCAAAGGGATGGTTTGATCCCTGGCAAAGGGGGTCACAAGGAGAGGGGGATCTTTCCTAACCCTGGCCTCGGCAATATCTCTGCTTTCCCCATGATCTGGGGCAAGCTATGGGGTTCTTGAGGCCTCAGATTCCCCCTTTTGTCTCTAGAAGCCCAAGTTCTCTTTCTCTTGGGGGGTCCTCAAAGCCCCAGACCCTCCCTGCCCCCTCAGGTCACCACCATAGCAAGGAATACATCGAAATCAACCCCCTGAGGAAGGTCCCCAGCCTCAGAGACGGAAAGTTCGTCTTGTGTGAAAGGTAAGATCCCGTCTCTGCTCCTCCTGGGAGATTCAGTGGGAACAGATCTGCCTGCCAGCATTTATTAATTTGTTTGTTTATTTATTTCCTGAGACGAGGAAAGATTAATGTACACTTGACTGGCCTAGAACTCACTATGTAGACAAGGCTGTCTCTATATCCCAAGTCCTGGGATTTTCAGCAAACCTCACACATCCATCTCCTGGCTTCTGGGGCTATCCACTTTGCCTCATCGACACCTCCCTCTGTTTTTCCTCCTTCCACACCTTCCATCACTTTACCCACGAGTGCTTAGAAATATCCCACTAAGAAACAAAGACTCTAACACATACATCACCCAATACCATTATGACAATGGATGAAATTACCAAGCCTTCCCAGATTCTACCCTTAGCCAGCTCATGTTCAAGTCCCCACATTTACATACATGAGTATTTTTCCTATATGTGTGTATGTGCACTGAGTGCATGTCTGGTGCCCCGGAGGCCAGAAGAGCTCATGAGATCTCCTGGAACCAGAGTTACGGATGGCTGCGAGTCACCATGTCAGGGCTAGGAACCAGACCAGGGTCCTCCAGGAGAGCCCCAAGTGCTCTTGACCACTGAGCCTCCACAGCAGTCCCTCTCAAGTCCTGCTTAGTCGGTTTGGGGTTGCTGTGGCTGAATTGGGCAGCATGGGAGATTCTAAAGAGCAGAAGGTTGACTTCCACTCGTGGTTCTAAAGGCTGTAAAGCCCAGGAGAGTGGAACTGGTACCTGGCCTAGTGTCTGCCTTCCCTTTGGGTCCTAGTAACAGAGAGATTACAACACGGTGAGCAAACAAGTGAGCTGGGGAGGGAGAGCATCTGTGTGTGTGCTTACAGAACTCAACCACCTGTGTCAACCTGGTCACCTATTAATCATTTTAACCATGCATGAATCAATCTGCCCTTGCAATCCCATCACCCTGAGTTGTCCCACCTCCTAAAATTCCCCTGGTGGGAATGCACTGTCGTTCTGAGCTTTAGTGGGACTTGGAAACCATCTCAACTCCGGTTGTTTGATTTCAGTTTGTTTCTGATTGGCCTCTTTGTGTGCTCTTTCATCCTGTGGCATTTCCTACATACACTAACTGTCCAATAGCAAGCCTGGGCCATCCCTTCCTGCAAAGCTCTGGTCTAACCTCTGCCCTGTATCCTTTGGTCCCCACCACCCCATCCCACACCCATCCCCACGAGACCAATACCTTTTGATGGGTTATTGGGTGAGCCACCATCTTGGCTTGCCTGAGACTTATCCTATCTCTTCTAACTAGAGGGCTATATCCTCTCATCCCTCAGAACCTTAAAGTCTTGGGACTGGAGGGAAGGCTCCACAGCTAAGATCCCTAACCATTCTCTAGAGGACCCAGGCTCCCAGCTCTCACGGAGTGTTTCATAGTCTGTAACTCTAGTTTTGGGGGATCAAATGTCTTCCAGCCTGTGAGGGCACCAGACACACAAGAGGTTCACAGACATACACACAGGCAAAACACTCATCCACAAAAACTAAACTAGGTAAAAAAGAATTAAGTGTCTCTGGCAGTCCTCTTCCCACCATGGCAATCATCCCACCAGCCACGTGTTCCGTTCAGCAGTTCCCAGATGTCCCCATTCCCTCTGGAATCTCAACATTCTTTGCCCCCTCTCTTTCTCTCCAAGAAAGGGTTTCTCTGTGTAGTCCTGAAACTTGCTCTGTAGACCAGGCTGAACTCGAAGTTACAGAGATCTGCTTGCCTCTGCCTCCCAAGCACTGGGATTAAAGTGCACCACCACTGCCTGGTGATTTGTTGGGGGGGAGGGGGAAGGAGGGAGGCATTACCCTTTCTTATGCCATTCATCAACTCCTGAGCGCCCTTCAGTGCCCCATGTCTTGCTGACTATTGGTCTGACATAACAGCTTGGGGTAGACTTCCCAGAGGAACCTTTTGGGTTCCTCCTCCTCCTGCCAGAATTTAGCACCTAGGGCCTGCCTGTGGTTGAAGGCCATGTTGGGGTGGTGTCGGGGCTTTCAGAAGGTACAAGCAGTGCCCCGACTCGCCCTTTCTGTAGTGTGGCCATCCTCTTCTACCTATGCCGCAAGTACAGCGCACCTTCCCACTGGTACCCACCAGACCTACACATGCGCGCCCGTGTGGACGAGTTCATGGCCTGGCAGCATACAGCCATTCAGCTGCCCATGAGCAAGATACTGTGGATCAAGGTGAGTGGCCCGGCCTGGGGCTCGGGAACAGGGAAACAAAACAATCAGACAGCCTGAAGTCCAGGCCTGGTTCTGCTGACTGAGCCTCTTTTTCCAGGGTCCCATGTCTGCCTACCTCTCAGAGATTGTGGGATGAACTAAGTGGGACAAAACTTGGCAAAGGCAAATGGCAACTAGAAAGGGTCAAGACAGGACTCATGAAACTTGGTTCTAAGTTAGAGAATGCCAGTAAACTTAAAAGGTGACAACCAGCACACATATTCCGACTTCTAGTTTCTGCTTGTGTTTTTAGCTCATTTTCCATTGCTATGATAAAATGCTCCAGGCCGGGTAACTTGTGAAGAAAAGAGGTTTATTTTTTTATTTTATTTTAGATTTATTTATTTATTTATTTATTTATTTATTTATTTATTATGTATACAACATTCTGCCTGCATGTATGCTTGCAGGCCAGAAGAGGGCACCAGATCTCATTATACATAGCTGTGAGCCGCCGTGTGGTTGCTGGGAATTGAACTCAGAACCTCTGGAAGAGCAGTCAGTGCTCTTAACCGCTGAGCCATCTCTCCAGCCTGAAAAGAGGTTTAGTCAGCACACAGTTTTGGAAGCAGGAAGTCTAACAGCATGGCACCAGCTCTGAAGAGGGCCCCGGAGCAGATGCTATCACAGTGGAATCAGGTGCTAGCCAGGATCACCTGCTAAGACAGGGAATCAGAGCCAGCGGAGGGCTTGCTTTTCCATAACAGCTTGCTCTCTTGAGTACTGGCTGTGTCCACCTCGATCCCTTCTGAAGTCAGTACCCGTAGTTAGACTGCAGGTTTTAAAGATTCCGGCCCCTATCATGTCACCAAGAGGACTGGATTCCCAAACTCATCAACCTTTGGTGAGTGAGACTCACTCAAAGCATGGGACTCTCTGCTCTCCCGGCCTCCAAATCCATCTGAACACATGGCCCTTGGTAACTGCCCCTTGAAAATGGTCCAAAAGGTGAAATTTACATCCTTGGAAGTGTCCAAGCTCTACCTAACAGACAGGGATACCAAAGCCCGGCAGGGGGAATGGGCTGGAATATTGCCTTTCCACCGTCCACTTCCCTCCCTGCCCAGTTGCTAATCCCGATGATCACGGGTGAGGAGGTTCCTGCTGAGAAGGTGGACCAGGCAGTCGATGAGGTGAGGAGAAACCTACAGCAATTTGAGGAGAAGTTTCTGCAGGACAAGATGTTTATCATTGGAGACCACATCTCCCTGGCTGACTTGGTGGCCCTGGTGGAGATGATGCAGGTATGGGGAGAGGGAAGGTGTTTTCTGTGACCAGGGACTGGAGTCTGGGGAATAGACCAAGAGAGACAGATGTGGGAGTCAGGTCGGGGTGCCTGGACCCACCTGGAAGTGACAGGAAAGAATCAGAGGTTCTGGATCTAGGAACATCTTTTTTTTTAATATTTATTTATTATGTATACAATATTCTGTCTGTGTGTATGTCTGCAGGCCAGAAGGGGGCACCAGACCTCATTACAGATGGTTGTGAGCCACCATGTGGTTGCCGGGAATTGAACTCAGGACCTTTGGAAGAGCAGGCAGTGCTCTTAACCACTGAGCCATCTCTCCAGCCCATCTAGGGACATCTTGATCGTGGAAATTGACAAAATTCCATGGCATGGAGAGAAGCCAGAGGGAGAGCCAGGGATGCAGAGAAAACCATGATATACCAGCTAAGTTCCCAGACACCAGCTCTTCCTGCTGGACTTGCCAGGAAGTATATGGAGATTCCCGGTGTCTCTTTCCCGGTTGTCTCTTTTCCAGAGCTCCAGAGGCAGGAGCATTAAGACAGCGCTCCCAGTTCTGGGTCTGAGCAGTGGAGAGCACTGTGCATTGGAGGAAAACTTGTAGGAGGCGCAGGGTTTTCATGTGGTTTACATGTATGCTCAGTCCATGCGAGCTAGCTGGTGTATGCAGGCTAGCCAGTTTAGACACTCCCATTGTCCTTTTCTTCCTCCCTTACTTCCTTTCTTAAGCTAGCCTTAGCTCTCAGTGTCTCAGGCTAGCCTCAAACTGGCTATTTAGTTGTAAAGACCTTGAACTTTTGATACTCCTGCTACCACCTCTCCAGTGTGGGGATTACAGGTATATAACAAACACAATGTCCCGTTTGTAGTGTGCTGGACACTGAGCCCAGTGCTTTGTGCATGCTATGTAAGTCCTCTGTCTGCTGAGTCACATGCCCAGCCCATGGCCAGCATAGTTTCTAGCCAGGACTCAAAGTAGCAACTTTAGTCCTCGGCCAATGTGTGATGTGGAACAGCTCAAGGAAAACCATTCTGGCCTGCACCAAGCAGGCTGGCCTCAAACTCACAGAGATTGCCCGCCTTCCAAGTGTGAGGATTAAGGACATGTGACAAAACAACCCCGGGGTGCATATTTCTTAATGAAGCAGCTAACCCCTAAGCAGGTGGTGTGCTGAGCCTGCCTCTTCTTACTGCTCCTGATCTGATCACAGAAGGAGATCCAACACTGGGGAAGGAAGCGATTAAGTTCCATTCCTTCCTGAAATGAGAAATGGGAGTCACCCGGGTCAGGAGTCACCATCTTTGACCAGGACCCTCAGTGCCTGTTTCACATTGATGGTATAGTTTTGACACTTGCCAAGAAAGACTCATCCCCCCCTTTTTTAAAAAAAGATTTATTTATTAAGCATACAATGTACTGCTGGCAAGGAGGTTGTGAGCCACCACCATGTGGTTGCTGAGAATTGAACTCGGGGCCTCTTACCCTCTGAGCCATCTCTCCAGCCCCAAACTCATCCCTTTTTTGCAGAGGCAGATACAGATAACCCTTGAGGCTACAGAAGACCTGAGTGCAGCTGGTGCTGATGCTGATCACATCTTCCTTTTGTTTACCCGTAGCCGATTGGGGGTGACCACAACGTCTTCATCAGCTCCAAACTTGCCGAATGGCGGATGCGGGTGGAGTTAGCCATTGGTTCTGCCCTCTTCTGGGAGGCTCATGACCGACTGGTGAAGTTACCCAGCTGGGACTGCTCGACGCTGGACCCCATGGTCAAGACCAGGATTGGTGAATTTCTGAAGACATATAAGTGACCTCAGAGGCTGTTCATTCTGCAGGGTCTGGCTGTCTCTGCCTTCTGAGTCTCTTCCCTTAGGGAAGACACTAAGAAACACTCTCTTCCTTTACCTAATTAAAAAAAAAAAACCTGGAACAGTCACCAATGCTGTTATGAGGACAGTAGGTGTGAGCAAAGAGAATGGTATGGGAGGAGGTGATCATCACAAGTCTTCTTGGTTTCTAAAAAGAATATAAGAGGCTGGGGAGATGACTCAGAGGGTAAAGTGCTTCTGCCTATCTTAGTTAGGGTTTCTGTTGCTGTGAAGAGACACCATGACCATAGCAACTCTTATAAATGAAAACATTTAATTGGGGTGGTGGTTTACATTGTCAGGGGTTCAATCCATTATCATCATGGTGGGACCTAGTGGTATGCAGGCAGACATGGTGTTGGCTACATCTCCATCAAAAGGCAACAGGAAGTGCACTGTGACACTGGGTGGTATCTTGAGCACAGGAAATTGCAAAGCCCACCCACACAATGACACACTTCCTCCAACAAGTCACATCTCCTAATAGTGCCACTCGCTGTGAGCTCAAGGGAGCCAATTACATTCAAACTACTTCACTGTCTTAGCTCACATTTCTACCACCCACACTAAAACCAGGTACAAGTACCATCCCCAGAGCTCACTAAGTAGCCAGTTCAGCAGAAATGGCAAGCCCCAGGTTCAACAGCAAAAATGTTAGCTGAAAAACAAGGGGGAAAGCAAAAGACGAAGCCATCCAACCTCAGCAGATGGTCTCTGTAGGAGCACCTACCTGTTTAGTTAAAAGTGTCACCTCAGCTTCCTAACACCCCTTTATACAAAGAGTCTGAAATGCTTAGTTGGGGGCTTCACTCCAACCCCTGGCATCCATTTTGAGCCACCTCCCCTGGGAGTTGCCTCAGTCCAAACTCCACCTCCAAGAAAGGCTGCCAAACGGTGACCCCTCACAGGAAGGGTCAAGACCACTCCCACAGGCTATTTAAACTGCCTCCCAAAGAATTAACACGTGGTCTCCCCTTTTCCCTCTTCAGTGGTCGTTCTGATTCTCCTCTTTCTCTCTCTGTGTTTTTCTGGAGGCCGCTGCCATCCATTAAACCTGGGCATCTTCTAATTTGGTCTGGTTTGGTCTGATTGGGATAATTTGCATCAGCGGACCCCCTCCCCACCGCTGGTCCTCAAGAAGCCTGCCAGTGGGATGAAAATGTGCATTGGATTCCAGATCTCACCTTTCCATGTGCCCACAGGCATAGAGCTTAACCTGGGCCTCAGGTATCCCATAAGTAAAGAAATACAGTACCCAAGAGGCTCAGTCTTGTTTTGCCACCACGAGATTGTTATTCCAGTAAGGAATTTGGTCTTGCTAGGATGGTGGCTTGTAGGCAGAGTTCTCCCATTCTGGGAGCCACTTCCAAATTACTACACAGAGACTTATAGTAATTGTACTAACTAGCTCTTGCATTTTAAGTTAACCCATATTTCTTATATATGTTCTGCTCTGTGGCATGTACCTTTAATAGAATAGGACATTCATCTCCTGCTTCCTCTGCTACTGGCTGGTGACTCCTCTAACTCTGCCCTTTCTCATCCAATCATTCTCAGTTTGACTTTCCCACCTAATTTTATCCTGTTCTGCTATTGGCCAGTCAGCTTGTTTATTGAACCAATTATAGAGACATATATTCACACAGAGTACAGGACTATTCCACAGCATTGGCTTGACTTCATCTCACCTTCCTAAGATGTTTTCTTGTTTATCTGAGCATGTGCCATGTGTATGCAGGTATCCACAGAGGCTGGAAGAGGATGTTAGATCTCCTGGACCTGGAGTAGTATGTAATTGTGAGCTCCCTTAGGGTTGTTTACAGAAACATGGGTAAGGGTTTGTGAAAAGACACACGGGCACTGTCTCAGTCATTGTTCTATTGCTGTGAAGAGACATCATGACCACAGCAATTCTTATAAAGGAAGATCAGCTTGCCTTGGCGGATGGGGGAGGCAGTGGGCAAGGCTTGTCTCTCTCTCTCTCTCTCTCTCTCTCTTTTTTAAATATTTATTTACTTATTTATACAGTATCCTGCCTGTAGGCCAGAAGAGGGCACCAGATCTCATTATAGGTGGTTGTGAGCCACCATGTGGTTGCTGAGAATTGAACTCAGGACCTCTGGAAGAACAGTCAGTGATCTTAACCACTGAGCCATTGCTCCAGCTCCTTAAGGCTTGTCTCTTAGGGACAGGACAGATTGTTACAATAATTACATCAGTGTCTGAGATGGGGCCTACTAGAGAGGGATTTAGAGTTGCCTAGTAACATCTGCTTTCTTTGCAAGGCTCGGTGGTGTCTTCCAGACACGACATAACGTGCTTGGACCACGGTCAAGGTTGACTGTCCCAGAAGCATTGCCAAGGTGAACGTGGCTGTTGGGGTAGATGACCGAAAAGCGAGGCACAAAACAACCCTGGGACAGGATGGCATTACCTTTGTGATTTCAGTGTTCTTAGAGATGGGCTTTGAAGTTTCAAAAGGCCAAACCAGGCTCAGTCTCGCTCTATGGGCTGCTTGTTATCAGAAGCTACTGAGCACTGGTCTCAGCACTCTCTCGGGGGTCAGAACAGGACTTCTAAGTCAAGGAAAGACTGGCTTGGGAATGGGATCTGAGAGGCAGAACAAACTGACTGGCTTAGGCACATTTTTCCTGCAAATTTCTTTATTACTTATGGGAAGATGAGCATAAGAACTTAAGGCATAAGCCTTAAGGTCAAAGTATCAGATATAAGGGACAAGGCATAAGGCATGAGGATAAAAAGGGGTTAAAAGGGGCAAGGGTGTGAGGGCATAAGACAAAGGGTAAAAAAGTAAGGGCGTAAGGGTATAAGGGGAGTTTTAAAAAGGGGGATAAAGGTAGAAAAGGGTAAAAAGAGGGCATGAGGGTATCAGGCATAAGGCATTAAAAAGGGGCTTTCAATTTATACAGGCATACAGACAAGTTAACAATCCCACAGGCAGTAACAATGGTATCTGTGATGTTAAGTTGGGAACACCACCCCAGCCCCCTGGCCTAAGAGTTGTTTTGGTCTGGACTCCAAATCCCAGCATGCCAGGTCCTGACCCCTCCCCAGGGGAGGGTCAGAACCACTCCCACAGGGCATTTAAGCTTATATGCTCAATTTGAAACAACAGGTAATGGTACCTGGTTCTCAAGTGCCTTTACAAATCTGAGATCGTGGCATTTTAACAACAAGAGCTTCTAACACAGAGATATGCCAGCTCTTGCAACACCCTCAGCTCCTCCAAGAAGACAGAAGACCTTGCACCTTGCCTCTGGGTTTGGCAAAATCACCCACACAGAAGCAAAAGAAGTGGCATTTTACCTCTCCAGTTTCCTGGATGCTTCACCCGGGAAATCGATCTCCTCATCCTTCCCAGACAGGTAGACAAAATCTTCCCCACACAGAAAGAAATCTTTGGGCCTCTCGTACTCAGCAGCTAAGGCTGGTGTCCTCCAAGGACCAAGGAGAGGATTTGGGATTGCTGGCATAGCAAAAAGCTGTCTCATTTTTTGCTCATTTATTCCTCCCATATTTGTGTAAAGGCACTTGACAACTCAAGGTACTGCTGTTTAACAGGCTTCATAGTCCAGGATTAACCATCTTCAGAGGTTCAGAGTTCCCAATTTCCTTTAATTGCCTTCTAAAATGTTCATAACTCTTAACCTAATAGTCTTTTGCTATAAAATCTGTTCCAGTTCTCTTACAGGTTCCTGGAAATGTTCTATTGCCATATCAGAATCAGGTCTGGTAAAATCCAGGGTTCATATATATATATATATATATATATATATATATATATATATATATGTGTGTGTGTGTGTGTGTGTGTGTGTGTGTGTGTGTGTAAATGTAAGTGTAACCCATACCTGGATTCATAAACCATATTCTGTTTTCTAGATGCTCCTTAGTGGATAATTATTTTTTCTTCTGTCAGCATTCAAACATCCAGGGTCTCTTGAATTTTTGATGATGTGTATTTTCCTGAAAAGATGAGAGCAGAACCCTGCCCAAACTCTATATGGCTTTCCTTACCACCAGTATGGTTGTCACCATTGTGGATGAGCTGTTATTTCTCTGTTTCAATAGGTTTCTCCTTTTTAAAGTGAATCTTTGTTAATTTGGATGGTATCCATAATTTTTCTTCTCCTGTGGAAACATTAGCAAAACCCCTTCCCCAACATAATACATCTCCTGGTTTCCATTGTGAGGTCAACACATCCTTGAAATATACTGGTTGATTCAATTCAGAAGTTCTTTCCATTATCCAATGCTTCTCTGCTGCTGTTGTTCCTTTCTCATTAGCGTTAAGAAAATTCAAGATTAACAAAGCATTATGTAATCTACTTCTGGGGGTATTTTCCATCTCTTTCTGTTTATTCAGCATATCCTTTGTTGTATGATTTGATCTTTCTATAACTGCCTGACCTGTAGGATTGTTTGGCATACCTGTAATGTGCTTTATATTATAATAAGCAAAAAAATTTCATTTTTTTAGATACATATGCCAGACCATTGTCTGTCTTTATTTGTGCAGGTATACCCATGATGACCATAACTTCCAATAAATGTGTGATTACCAAGTCAGCCTTTTCTGAGTTTAAGGCAGTTGCCCATTGAAAACCTGAATATGTGTCTATGGTGTGGTGTACATATTTTAATTTACCAGATTCCATAAAGTGGAACACATCCATCTGCCAGATTTTATTTCCTTTGAGTACCCTTTGGGCTACTTCCTGCAGGCAATGGTGTTTGATTATAGAAAGAGCAAGTAGGGCATCTCTTTATAATCTCCTTAGCTTGTTGCCATGTAATAGAAAACTCTTTCTTTAAACCTTTGCTATTGATGTGATGCTTTTTTCTGAAATTCTGAGGCCTGCAACACACTTCCAATCAATAATTGATCAATTTCTGCATTACCTTGTGCTAGAGGACCTGGCAGACACATATGGGATAGGATGTGTGTGATATACATAGGACAAAGCCTATTCCTGATTATGTCTTGCACCTGGATAAACAATGAAGTCAATTCTGTATCATCTGGTATAAATTCAGTGGTTTCAGCATGCAAGATAACTCTTTCTGCATATTGTGAATCAGTAACTATATTAAAAGGTTCTTTAAAATCCCTTAGCACCATAAGATTGGCATATAATTCTGCCTTCTGGGCAGAATTATAAGGGCTTTGTTCCACCTTACTTAATTCTTCTGATTTGTAATCTGCTTTCCCTTATTTATTTGCATCAGTACAAAATGTACAGACTCCAGTTATTGGAGCATCACGTATAATTCAGAGAAGAATCCAAGAAGCTCTCTTTATAAGGTTAAGTCTATCACTTTTGGAATAGTTGTTATTTATTTCTCCCAAAAAATTAGCACAAGCTCTTTGCCATGGTTCATTGTCTTCCCATAACTTTTTTATTTCATCAGTAGTGAAAGGCACTATAATTTCTGCTGGGTCTATACCTACTAGTTGACGAGTCTCAAATTACCTTTTATAATTACTTCAGAGAATTTGTCCACATAAGTTTTTAATTTTTTACTTGGTTTATGTAGTATAAAGATCCATTATAAAATAATATCTTCCCTCTGCATTAAAATTCCCATAGGAGAAATTCTGGAAGGCAATATTACTAGAATACAACTAAGATTTGGATTCACCCTATCCACATGTGCCTCCTCTAATTTTTCTTCAACCATTGTCAGTTCCTTTTCTACTTCACTGTTAATTCTCTGGGACTATTCAAATCTTTATCACCATCTAAGGTTGTGTTTAAATGAATTATTAGATCAGGTGTTATCTCAACAGCCGGTTGTAGACTGAAATGTCTCCTAACAATCTTTGAAAGTCATTAAGAGTCCGTAATTGGTCTCTCCTAATTTGTGCCGTTTGTGTTCTAATTTTCTGTAAACTTATTCTGTAACCTAGGTAATTAACAAAATCTCCTCTTTGAATCTTTTCAGGAGCAATTTGTATTCCCCATTTAAACAAAACTGTATTTACTTATTCAAACATCCTTTCTAAAGTATCTATATTTGAATCAGATAACAAAATGTCATCCATGTAATGGCAGATTATTGACTTAGGAAATTGCTTACAAATTATTTCCAATGGCTGACTTACAAAATATTGGCACAATGTGGGACTATTGAGCATCCTCTGTGGGAGGATAGGATATCTCCTAGTAGGCTGAGAATTATTATAAGTAGTCACTGTGAAGGCAATTTTTTCTCTATCCTTTTCTTGTAAAGACATAGTGAAAAAAAATCCTTTAAATCAATAACCATGAGAGGCCATCCCTTTGTTAACAGAGAAGGCAGAGGAATTCCAGATTGTAGAGGGCCCATAGGTTGAATAACCTTGTTTATAGCTCTGAGATCTGTCACCATTCTCCATTTTCCAGATTTCTTGTTAACAACAAATACAGGAGAATTCCAAGGGTAGTAGATTCTTCTATATGTCAAGCATCTAGTTTCTCTTGTACCAGGTGTTCTAAGGCCTGCAACTTTTCCTCAGGTAGAGGCCACTGCTTAACCCATATTGGTTTCTCAGTTAACCATTTTAAAGGTAGGGCTGTTGGTACCTCTGAAGGTTTATCAATTGCTTTGTGTTCTTGTACAGCCCAAATGGCTGGTGTCCATCATCTATAATAATATCTTCTAATATTTTCCTCAGAAACCTAAGTTTTATGGGCTGCAGGAATGTTAATCTGGGTATTCCATTGCTGCAACAGGTCATGACCCCACAAATTCATTGCAATATTGGCTATATATGGCCTTAGTCTTCCTATTTGCCCTTCAGGCCCTGTGCATTCAACCCATCTCGTGCTTTGTTTTACATGAGATAGGGTTCCAATTCCCAGGAACTGAACATCTACTTCTTGAAGAGGCCAATTCAGATGCCAAGATTCTGGAGTAATGATACTTACATCCGCACCTGTGTCTAATAAGCCTTCAA